AAACTTTTTGCCATCAGTCAACTATCAGTGTTGTGCAGAAGTTGGTTACTTTGAGGAGTGAGAAATGTTATGTTTACTGCATGATAGTTGTTGTAACTGCTCTTGTTTTACCGTCACGTGATCTCGCGTTACCCTTGACCATGACTATGCAGTCGCTTTGACCTTGACATCACAGAGTCTTGTGAATAATAAACAGAGGGGCTGGACACCACTGCCCGTGGTTTGTTTTCAGGCAAACAAGGTGTTATTTCCCTGTCTAGACGGCGAGAGTTAATGACATACCATAAATACATAAAAAAGGAAAATGCTCTGATTATTCAATATCCTTGTCATTGTGAAAATGTACACTGTGTACAACCGTTTTTTGTTTGTTTTTTACTTCTCGTACCATTGAACACTCCGCTTTTCCTCTTCCGCGAACCCTTGCCCGTATAAGTTTTAAACCACCAATGATTGTATTCTCTCATCATGATGAGGTGTAGGTTATATTGACCACGAAGACAGGTAGTGCATTTAGGCTACGTCTGCAAAAGACCGTGTTCACAGAGATGACATCTTGTTATTTCCATAGGCGCGCCGAGAAAAGATGGGTACTTCTTCCCAAATATTAAGAGATGCATCCATGGTCACGTCAAAAGGTATGGCTAGTTTTTTTTTTATTTGTAGTGAATATGCACAATGCCTTGGTGTTTTAGATCGTTTATGAATATATAAATGTGTGCATTTTTTAAATTATGTTATATTGATGCACTTGTTCTGTCAAGCTAACATTTTCTATGTCTGGTTAGGCGCAAGGCCTATTCAATATATGCATAGATCTATTATGAGCAATGCGGGGGAAAGAGAAAAGAGACCGTCTTCGAAATGTTTTTTTTTTCCACCTACACAAACACAACACCCTTTAGGATTTTCCCAATGCCCTTGTTTTCGTTCATTTATTGCATAATGTAAAAATGTCATCATTTTATGCTCTCTGCAAAAAAGTAAATAGAAGTAATTAAATTGTTGGATTTCTAAAGTCAGACTACAAATTATTAACTAGATTAAAAGACAGTATTTCTCATTATTAGCAGTTGTTTAGTTCAAACCTGTGTTGATAGCTTTGTTTTGTGTCGCACTATTTTACTAATATTAATATTATAGAAATAGTTTTATTGTTTTGACTATAGCTATTAATATTACTTTCTGGTTTTGCATGGGACAAATAGTGGTATTGTAATATAGAAGTCGAATACGTAAATTTGCTAATTTTTGTCGTGTAACAATTATTACTGGGTATCACTGCATTAGTTTATTAAATTGTAAACTCAAAAAAAAAAAAAAAACTATGTTGCACTAATAAGCCCCTAAACATATTCTCTTAGATTACTGAAATTGATTTAAACACATGCGTATACATTTTTTTTTTTTAAATGCAAACGTATACGCATTTTTAAAGCAAGTTAATTTCTGGTGGCGCGTTTCTCTAAGTTATTCATGCTGGAATCTGAGAACAATAAATATAGAAATAAACGCTTTTCAGAACTATAGGGTTTCGATCAATGTGCTGCTTAAATAATAGATGTTTAATGCGTAAGGCCTGTTCAGCCAAACACACGAGCTTTTTTATTCACCGTTTCTAAACAGACCAGCTGGAATGCGAGGAGAGAGATCCGTGGGTTGAGAAGAAAGAGGGCTGATAACCTCTGGTGGCGTATGGTGGAAATATCAGGAAGTGAGCAGTGTAGATTCAGCACGAAGACACATGCTTTGCACCGGTCTTTATGTAGACAATTTGTGTCTGGCGCACGTCCTCTTATAGGATATGTGTGTTTAATCTAAGATGAAGGTAACTAATAAACTACTAATATGTAGCTTAAAGTATATATTTGAAGAATTTGCTAGTGTTCATGGAAAGACATTATAAGAATACCGGGCACACATTGAATTGAATAGTTAGGATGGGTTGTTCATTGAAATATAGTGAAATATAGCCTACTGATTGAATTCCCAACTGTATATAATATAATATTATTTTATATATATGCTATATAATATATGATATAGATATTGTAAATGCATCTCTTAAAATATGACCCAGGTTTGTCGTTTCTTAATGTTTTTCTTTTCTCTCTCTATTTTGTAACTTCTAATATTCCCAGCTCGAAGTATAAAATTGCATAGTCCCTGAAAAATAAAATAATAAATAAATAAACAAACTAATAAATACAGGGGAAAAAAGGCAAAAGCTGGGTTCAGGTGTGCTAAGTGTTTCTCAAACATTAATTTGTTTAATCACTTTAACGTTGTCTTTTTCTTTACACTCAATTTATATCGACTTAATTTAAGCAAACTTAATTGTAGTAAAATTTTAAGCAAACGTAATTGTAGTAAAACTCATAATTATGCAACAATGCCAACACAAGCACTTACATTTGTGTGTTCATACACACTATTTCTGGAAGCTTCGTAGCAGTCGCGTGTTTATTTCTCTAGACGTTTCTATGTAAAATTGCGATTGAATTAAATTGTCATTATTTAAATTTACTATTATTGTGGTGAGCATTACTATTATTCGTTTTTAATGTCTGTTGCGCCGTCCAACTATCATCAAACTTTCCTTTCTTTAAATTGAGTTCAAGTATTGGACACCTGGAATTTTGCATTTAATTCACATTTAATGCACGTTTTTTCCCTTTAAGAAATCGGCCTCGGAGGACGTTCACAGCAAGGCTTTCAGTGAGCCACAACCTGTCTTCCAAAATCAAAGACAACAAAAAGGCCTTTGTTTACGCTATGGCCCTGTCTGGACGGAAAAGAGATTCCAAGACAGCAATCTCAGAGCGGCGCAGACAGTGCACTAGACACTGACCTTGAACTAACAACTATTTTAGCCATTTTCCAGAGATTTTGGAGATTTTAACTTTGGCCATCCTAGCGGTAAGAAAATGTCATCTTTTTACTGTGACTCTTAAGCGATATTATTTGAGACAGGTTGTTTGAGGGGAATATTTTTTGTGACTGAATTAAGTTGTTGAAATGTTCCCAGGGAGAACCAGTAACTCTCTCAACAACTTGTTTTACTCTCTGTTGTGCTCTTGGGGGAAATAATAAAATATTCTCACTACAACTAATCAGAAATAACTAACAACTGACTAGTGTATTAATTAGCATAAGTGTTTTCTCAAAGTAACAAAATTTCTGGTCTCTATAGCTTCATATTTGGTGATTACATTTAACACAAAAATGTCCTGATATTTCAGTAAAATATCTGAAAGCATTTAAAATTTATATACACGGAGTGTTGCATAGCATGTTAATTGGTTACATGAATCTGGTATGAAGTACTCTAGCCGTAAAACATGCACATGTGTGCCTAAAATGTTGATGTAATAATTCTTGGGCAATTTAGAGGACAGTATTTGTAGTCTTTTAGTTGTTTTGAGTTTCTGTTATAGGTGTTACGTCAATATTTGTTTTGAGTTGAACACCGGATTTCCTTAGGCGCAGTATCTTTGTATTTATAGCCTAGATACCCATCGCCATTAATGAAGCTGTTTGTGGTTATTTTTGCTTTTGTCGGTTTATTTCAAAGTAGATGAACCAAAAAATAAATAAGTTGGCCACGATCATAATTACGATCACGCCTCTGCACTGACACAAGCTTTAGATTGGCAGCAAACGCAAAGTTACTGTGCTGCTCAAAGACTCCTGCAATAAATAAGGGAAATGTAAATTATTAAAGTGAACGAAGAATGCAAATATAATTTGCTCAGTTATAAATGTATGTCAGCATGAACATGTGCTCAAGTGGCTACGCAAACGCGTAAACAAACCAGTTGTTAAAAAAGTTATGAAGGAATAGACATCAGTCTGTTTTTTACATTTTTTTATATGACAGCTGTATCCACATCTGAAAACCTTTAACTTGTAATGGTTAATCGAAATTCAGGTTTGAGATAAAAAGGATATAATTCAAAACAATCCTTTGTGACACTAAATACACAAAGATTAAAAAATAACGTTAAAAAAATTATTTTATTTATAACATGTATTTATAATTAATACACTGGGGAATATACTATTTAAAAAACGTAAGGTCCAAAAGATTAGACTAACACTGAATAGGCATAATATCAACTTTGTGTAACGCACACACTCCAATGTGAGACAAAGGGTTTAGTGCGTATTATTGTCCTTTTGTCATAATAATCTTTATTTCATCGCTTCATTATGCTCTTAATATAATATACACGTGACAATGGCACTGCGCTGCAGTTGATATGAGGAAAAATTGCGTGTACTTTATATATTTACAATCAAAAATCAATTAATCTGATCTAGTGTGGTGTATTTGGAGCGGCAGAAACATTTTAATGCCCTCTGCCAGCTTGTAAAATTCAAATAAAAGAATTGCGAGATGTGTAACAATCCGCCATGAGTTTGACTGCGAGTATTTATAGGATGTATCTGTTAAAGTTGTTCATGTGAGGTGTACTAGAGCATATTATCTAAACTATAGGCTACGGTCTTAAAAAATTCTTATAGAACATAATCTTCTTTTACGGAGCCAATGGTTTCAACCTGCTGACCCCACTACAGTAAATATGAGTGGAGTTCAGCACTGAGCATCAGTATTTCTTTAAAACAAGCCTGTAAAAGATGAACATCACATCTTTATATGACACTGAATTCAACCGTAATTTGTTTGAAAACAATGTCGAAAGAACCCTCATCACCTTCAATGAGAAAAAAAAATTCTTTGTTGGGGGGAAAAGTATTTTATTTTTTTATTTTTTTTTTTTTGCCAGGTAATAAAGATTAAACTAGGCTAGGGACACTTCTCTATATTTCTAAACAGGAAAGTGAAAGACGATCAGTTTAGAACCTTTGAGCTATGGGAAAAGAAAAACAAGATTTTACATTTTTAATAAGATATTTTATAGTATTTTTAAAAAGCATATAAAACCCGTAATACAGAAGTTAGTGTTTTGTTTTGTCTGAAATGGACCAAGTGGGTGGTACCTTCTAGCGTTCGAGTAAGCTCCGGCACGTGACGTGGAGATGACCAATCAGGTGCACCTCCAGGTTTAACTACGTTAAATGTCAGATTGCAATAAACTAGAAGCTGTTGGTCTGGCCCGCGGAAATGGGCGAGCATAATCTTCTTAATCCTGGGTTTGTGGGACCTTTGGTAAACATCCACACTGGAGACAGGTTTTACTTCCCGAATTTTAGAGCCTCAGGGGGACAGCTGGCGGGGCTACCGTCTCTCTCGTACCCTAGAAGGGACAATGTTTGCTCTCTCCCGTGGAATCCATCGGAGTCGTGCAATGGATATCCTCAGTCTTACTTTAGCAGTCCCGTATCCATTAACCCCTCTTTTAATCGATCTTGTGAAATAACCCGACTGGAGGAAAGCAAGTGTTATTATGGCAATTCCAGCAGCACCAGAGAGCCGTGTCCAGACAGCAACAACCTCAAACGAGAGGAGCGAGCAAGAGATACATCAGTATCGTCTGATCACGGGATGCACAATGGGATGGGCAACAGTGGCACCTTCTCAAAGTATGATTATGGCACCGAGCATCTGACCCAAGACCCGCCATCCTGTCAGTCCTTGGAGTCCGACTCCAGTTCTTCAATGCTAAACGAAGGGGGAAAGGCTTCAGCAGGCGACCCACAAACCCTGCTATCGCAAGGAAACCACGCAAGCAATATCGCCAGTGGAGGAGGTTTGTCCCTCGCATTTAATCACAGCTGAAAGACAACAGAAGCAAATAGTACAATTACTCATATCTTGCTCCAGCACATTTTTTTTGCATGACCGTTTATTTTGGCACTCACTGGCTACTGTTATGATTTTCCTGCATGGTTCTTGCGTGGTTGTTCAAGGCCACTAGGGGTTGCCCTAAAATGCTCCACGTTCACCAGTTTAAGCGCTCAGTCATTTATACAACCAGTAAACACAACATCATAAAATTCAACAATCCCATTGCCAATGTCTGACGCCGTTTACATAAAATGCATAGTTATTGTTGTTAAATGTACGTTTTGCCAAAGCCCTCGCGTTATTTTAGCAAGTAGAACAGATTTGTAAAATGGCAGTTGCTTTGACAGAAAAAGGGGACGTTTTTTAATGACTCGTAAACTGAATTAATATCGTTGTCGTGCAGCAAGAAGCCATTTAATATGCCTTGAAACCGCTAAATAGGTAGGGTTCTTGCAAACAGGACAATTATCGCGTTAATGTACATTTAACTAGAACAGTAAAACCTTCTAAGTCATTCTTCTATGTAAACAGATAAATTCATCATATAGACAGTTTGCATTACACTTCAGATTGTCATTGAATCACGTCTAATTGTCATGTTAACAGCCTCACAAAATGCACCAAAAATTAATATTTTACGTGGCATCGAGATGCTGAGAGATTTTGATGTGCTGGCCTAGGAGATTTTTTTTGCAGCTCTCTCATGAACCCGTGCTTTGCCTCCTCTAGGTGCCCCGTGGTACCCGATGCACACCCGGACCCGCAAGAAGCGAAAGCCCTATTCCAAACTGCAGCTGGCCGAGCTTGAGGGAGAGTTCATGCTGAACGAGTTCATCACCCGGCAGCGACGTAGGGAACTGTCTGACAGGCTCAGTCTCAGCGACCAACAGGTTAAGATTTGGTTCCAAAATCGGCGGATGAAGAAAAAGAGACTGTTGCTAAGGGAGCAGGCTTTGTCCTTCTTTTAAGGAGGCACAAAATATACATTGCTTAATGGTAATCCAACAACAGTATGTAGTTAATGGTAATCTACCATTGGCCCATTTTACTCTGAAAGTCTTGCCCTACGACGCATTCAGGAATCACGAATAAGAATTCAAACATAATAGGGGTACGCGACCAAATGATGGCTCCAGAAGTCTGCTTATACTATGTGCTCTGGTGTTTATTTAAGAAGGTTCGTGTCCAGCAGTTTTGGGCATGTACACGCTGAGAATGTTTTAGTTGTAAGTTTTGAAAGTAACAAGCTGTCTAAGCCATTACTCACTTTATTAAGTAATGAACTGCTAGTTAGAAACTCAGACAAATATAAGCTGTGAGATGGCATTTCGGACAAGCAAAATGTTCTCTTATCAGTCTGAAATGATCGCTAAATATTTATTGTCGGAGTGTTAAAACCAATTTTTGAAATTATAACACTCGTGCCATGATCAGTGTTCTAAGCTAGAAAAAATAAAATAAAATAGACTGAAACGCCAAACTTGGTCATAATGAGAATCCTTAACTGTTCGTAATCTCCCATATATGTTTTTATTTCGCCAGTTATAAGAAAGGGCCGTTCAAACTCAATATTCGGCAATAAGAAGCTTGGGCAGCGTTAAGTCATCAACGTCTTATCTCAGTTCCGCAGTCATCGCCACGTGTTCTATGGCACGTTCACGGTCACGGGCACAAAGTTAGTGACCCAACTCATATCTTGGGCCCTTGAGAACCAAACTGCAATTACAGAACAGCTTTTATGAATAGACTTTGATCTAGCCTGTGAAATGTCATTCTGACAAATGTTAGGAAATTACTTCTGCAACTAGATTTTGGCCAAAGTGTAAATTGGTAGGCCTGCAGCTAAGCCGCACAAACTGCTAATACAATGTTTATTCATGATATAGTGAAAAACTTTATAAATGTCTCTGTCATATTTGCATTTTAACAGCATAAATTTCCCATTAACGATTGCTTGTCCCTTGATCTGCGTTATTTGGACATATTCGCTAAGGTCTACTAAATTAATTCACAACAACAGTGCTTCTGGGAGAGAAATGCATGGTCAGGTAATATTAAGAAGATGCGCAACTATAAATTAAAACAAAGATTAAGTCATTTTATAAGTGTAATGGAAGTAGCAATCATACTGAAGAGCCCAGATTTACATCCCAGTATTAACGAGCCTGTTTTGCTAATTAGCGGGACCCATTGTGTTATTTGAAACATTATTTACCCAGATCAAGAATTATATGCCAGTGAAATAGTTCATATTTGCTGCATGATTATAATGACTGTAGTTAGAAGGTAAAAAAGCAAATGTTTTTCCGACTTTTTTGTCAACAATGCGCATGTTTTATTTTAAAACACCTTATCAAAAAACTGAAAAGAACGTTTAAAAGATACGGACAAGAAGGTGGTCAAAAGTTGGTTTCATATAAAATATAGCTTATTCGTTTGTACTTTATTATTATTATTAATATAATTATTATTATTATAGCGAATTTGGCATAAGTCGGTGCTACGTTATTTTTTGTTATTGGTCTGAGTTCGGCGAGTGACATTTTCTTTAAATCCTATTTTTGTGAATCTATAAAAAATACAAATACAATTATATGAATGGCATCATCAGCAACTATATAACAATGATCGTCACGTTTCCCCCTTTGGATTGTTTTGTGAAATTGTCTCTGATGTATAATTTTTCTGTGTTGTTCTGTGTAATTTTGTGAATGCACCAGTGCCGCATTCCTTTGTACCTTGCGATTAAAAATGTCTTGTAAATAATGTTACAAGTTCATGAATGTATCCATATATGTGTAACCTACAGTTTCTGATTAATAAAGTCTTTAAACTTACATTTATTTACGTTTTTCTTGGTGTCTATGTTGTGCAAACCATATGAGTGTTAGTATTTGAGTCTGTTATGTTTGTTAACATATTTTGACATTAAATAGCAGGAAAGCCAACTCGTGCACTCAAACTACCGTTTTTAGAAAAATGTAATTACGAATTTTATGTAGGCTACATTATTGCGCTTGGCAATATCCTTATTTTGAACATATTGGCTCTTACTTATTTCAGTGTAATATCACTAAATAAAACATTGTTGAAACACTCAAGAGAAAACTAAAAATGCTATCTGAATGTTTGCCAGCATGGCCAAATATAGTGCAACAAAATTGATATGCTTTATCCAGTGGTTGAAAATGGTAAAGGCATCCACCTAGTGGATAAATAGAACAGACGCCGAAACAGGGCCCCATGAGGACTAACTGCAAGGACATGTAATACTTTTCTTGCCTGTTTTGCAACTGTGGATAGGTAAAGAAAGCGGAAAGTGTTTCAGCCTTTTCCTAGTTCATTGCAAAAATATATAGTGTGCGAAGATTACCTTTTGATTACTAGGATTTTGATTTTTGCTAGGCGGTTACTTTAAATTGCTCACAAAAATGCAGTGGAATTTCTTGAATTTTAGGACCAACTTGTAATCTAATGTTGATCAGGAGTTAAACATTGTTAAACCAAACGTAATATGTAACATATTATGATTTTTTTGCGAAATTAAGCGGATCTTAGGGTAGAGATGGTTCCAAAGCCAAAGTTTAGTGTCAAGTCTATTGGCTTCCTTACAAGCAAATGCGCTGGAATCGTAACAATGGCATTTTATGTGCTTGCGGCGCTTTTGACTTTGAGACTGGCCAAATCTGTTTATGACGACTCGTCTCCCCGGCGCAGAGGTCATTGAGCACCTCAGTGCCCTTCACACAAAACTTGTGTAGTCATGTGGTTCACTAAGTGGTTCACAATCTGAATCTGCTGCAGCCTAGATTTAAACTGGTTTGTCTGGCCAGAGGAGAAAGACACACTATTTCGACACACTATTTCCCCATTTAATACTGTAAAGCTGCTTTGACACAATTTGCATTGTAAAAAGCGCTATATAAATAATGGTGACTTGACTTGAATTGACTAAGTGCTCTAGATCTCCCCTGCTCCTATCGCAGACGTGTAGAGATTGGAGAACGAACTTCTGGCGTCGCTTGCACTGCACACATGTTTGTGAGTGTGTGTATGTCTGTGAAAGAGGGTTTACGTGTAACTAAGAGAGTGAGACAGAAATATTTCTTGACAATGAATAGTTTTATAAACACTCTATATAAACGTGTATATGCTCGCCTTAACCTGCTAGTAACTTCAATATTTAGCTTATGCAACGGTTTGGTTACTTTTGTATTTAAACAGTATCAACATTTACTTGGCCTGACAAAAGACGAATAGACGAATAATTCGAATTATTGCAACCGCACTGGAAAAAAATTACGTTCTTTCAGGCTTATTTCATTTGATTAAAAAGTTATCTTAAAAACGAACCGTTATTGGCACATTTATTAGTTATATTGTGCAAAAAATTGCTAATGTAGAAAACTAATATATATATATAAATGCATCGCTAATTGTATTGTAATTTGTAATTTATCTTGCTTAAAATATTAATATTAATATTTATTATAAGCTTTCTTATTCTGTTGGAACGATACCATTTTTGCATTGAGATTTTTTCCCTCTATGTGGTATTTGCCTGGAACTGTTAACTTATTAACTTAAAAACAAGAGGTTTGGAATAATAAAAACGTATTTTATTTTCTTGTTTATTTTATTTTTATTTACTCACTTTATGAACTTTAATTATGTATCGTCATTTAATTGTCACTCGCAGCAATGTCAACTTTCATCAGTTATCTAATCTTTAATATACAAATAAAAATCCTTCTTTACATTTTTTTGGTAGGAGCCGATATATTTTTCTTTTGAATTATAAAACATTTTAAGCATTTAACGTTTTAACAAGTCTTTAGTTTCTCAAAGCCATGGGACATTTTTCTATAAAGCTACGGCACGACGTCAAAATATCCACAACTCTAAAGCATGTAGCCTATACTTATTGCATGCCTGTTTTTTAATCTGCCATTACGAAAAAACTGTATGATGTTTACATTTGTATAGTAAATATATCCCTGCTTTAACCAGTATGAGAGCTTATTTCCTTGTAGTGTAGTTAAGTAATTAGAAAAAAATATATGCGGCCTACAGCGTAAAAGTATAGTTGTATAGAAAAACGGTACAATTAGGTAAAAATTAGGTTCGTTACATGTTTGCCATGTGCAGAACAGCACAAAACCAATAAATGCGTTCTGAACACGTCCATTAATACTAATCAAAAGCCAAAGTGTAATGCGTTGATCTGCAATATACAACCTACCTGAGCAAAAAAGAAGAAAAACGTGTTGTCGCATGAAAGAAAAAAAAACGAATTAATGAATGAATGTTACTTAACTAAGTATTTCCTAACTAAGTATTCAGTTTGGAAGAAAATAACTTAATTTGCAAACAATTGGTTTGACTGTTTATACAATGTTTAGGGCCTTCTTTCCGATCCCACCCCTTGCGTTAGCCCTGTCTTAGTGGGCGGGAGCAACTTACAAATTGAAGGTCAAGTTAGTGTGTCCCATATATAGGAACCAAGTATCCAATAACGTTGGTGTAGACAAAATTCAAGCATTAATACGAAGTTAAAGTACAACAGATACTACACTGAATCACACAATATCTTTTGTAATAATTGCGTTGAGAGTGCATAAACATTTCAACTCATTTTATAAATGCAACAGTTCATTTAGCAAATTTATATCGCACCTATAAGAAATCAACCACTTAATAGTCTTTTGCAAAAAATAGCCATTTACTTGCGATGTAGTCTAATACATAAGGCAAGTATTTTAAGTACGTTTAATTATTTTGTGGACGGGGCGAACATAAGCATTTACAATGTTTATTGTGTCAACCCTTTGAAAGAATCCTAAACCTGGATCCATCTTCAAAGTGATTATACAATTAATATCCAGATATTCGTGTATAGACCAGTTTGCGGAGTAAAGTCCTGGAAATATTTACTGTGATTTTTGCTAATGTGGTAGGGTACCCTCTAATACTTTTAAAAAGGCCATATATACCAAAAACACCACTAGAGTGAATGCTCTGCTTTCAGGCACACCCTGAGCATGTTATTTAAAATCGCAATGTTGCATACAAATAAAATTGAGCAGCAGCCATGCGGTGTGATTTTAGAGGCTTTGTTGTGAGTATACATACCTTTATCTTGTCATCATCAAGCCATTGGGCGGAAATCTGGTTTCCGCAATAAATGCCATTCAGTTTACGGTCGGCGAAACCGTTTGATCGACAAATATTAAGCAAACATCTCGGTAGATTATGTAAGGCGTGTGACTGAAGTGGCATTTGTTAAAAAAATAAATAAATAAAAAAACGAATGCGTGCGCTAAATATTTTCCACTCTTTTTTTCCTTGACAAAAAGTAAAGTAACTAGATAAATTAAATCACAAAAGCATAATTAAATGTTTGACAAAAATACCTAAATGTTAAAGACATTTTTGCACTAGATAAATTTGATGTTGCTGGATTGTCCTAAAATTCCAGCTTGCAGCTCTGCTGCACTGAAATGAGCCGTAGTCACGGAAACAGCCATATGTTTATTTGATATAGTTAATGCTGATTTTGGAGTTACATGTTTATTACATTTGTATTACATTACATTTTTTGTGACCGCACTAAAGTTTTGCTCAAGTTTCGCATTTTAGTGCATTTTACCAAATAATGTACTTGGGATGTAACTAATGATGACAATTATTATCAGTGTGGTAATACGTTTCTGACATAAATCGATGCATATTTGGACAGGGTCTTCTACTACATGCATCATGCACCCATTTTCTGTGCAATTTCTGTGTCATTTATTGAAGGTTACAATGAGCGTTTGGTGAGTGGTTATTCTGAAATTGAAAAAAAGTGGTTATTCTGAAAGTCTCTTTTTGAGGCATAATTTACGTGGTAGGACTATCTGCAAGACAATGGAGACATCACTTCTTCTTATTATTATTATTATTCGAACAAAACGCAAAAGTCTGTAACTATTGTATTAGTCGAGATTTGGGATTTAAATTTCGGAGGTGGAAACACGTGAAAATAATTGCATAAAGTAATAGTATTTTTGTGTAACAGCATATACAATACTGTATTAATATACGCTTGTGTTAAAAAAAAAAAGGTCTTCGTATGCGGCAAAGACAGCTTTTTTTGTATACGACTGGTGTGTGAGAGGTTGTTCTTTTTGCCATGAATAGCTATAGCGTATCTCAAAACAATAACAGTGTTTCATCTTTTTGCACTCCCTCAAATTTCACGGAAATGGACACAGTTAGCCATCTCTATTGTAGCTAAAGTTATTTTAAAAAATCACGTGTACCCCGACTAACAAAATAATTAAATTCACTCAATATAATAAAGATTACTTCTGTTATCTGTCCATGATGTAACTTTACATTTTGAGCAACAAACTTCTAGGATTTCTATGACTGAGATGTCTAATTGATACAACTGGGTACTGGTTGCCTGTGCTAACGCTCTACAGCTATGCACTAGCAGAGACCTCTGTAAAAAGAAGGGCCATTTTTGTTGTTGCTTGAATCTGTTCACAGCTCATACGAGCGAGTTTAACAGCCCGACTTACATCCAATTAAATTTATCTAGGCCATGAGGGGACAGTAATGCTATTACACAGTTTCCCTTTTTAGCCCTGCTGAGGTTTTAGCCCTAGAGGTAAACTGAAGGGCCATTGAGTGTTGCCTACAACTGTTGTTTGGTCTCGTTGATGTATGACGACTACTGATTATGTTTCATTTTCTGTCGATGTTCCATCGGTATGAGGCCAAAGCATTTTTGTGTTGATGCACGAATGAAAAGTCGATGAAACTGGCAACCAGACAAATACTTGCTGAGATTTACCGCTCCGTTATTTCTCCAGATCTCAATGGTAAAGCATGAGCCGCGTCGTTTTAGTTCGAGTAACAATAATGAGCGACTCCATAATTTTACTTTAACTCTATAATTATAGACCTTAGCTGCAAAGCATTGCAAAAATTCCATTGGCAATGTCGTAAAGCTCACGGCTCTACATAGTGATGTTTTTTAGGAGGAGAATGGCAAACATTTACAACACCTCTGTCCCCAGTCTCTCTAGACTCTAAACGTCTTTCTAGCTTTTCTTTCCAGCTGAACTTGCCCCTTCAATTCAACTGCTACATCACAATATCCACAATTGTCCAAATCTCCAGCAGGGGCAGAGCATTTGTGGGGATATAGTGCTTGTTTAGAGAAAGAAAAGGGCGCGCCTTTGTTGAATTTCAGGGTCCTACAGCTAGTAGTATCATGTTTAAGCTGTGTGATGGCATCGAAATAGTTGACATACATGTGTCTCCTGTAGAACAACGATGACAAAGTCAGGTACAAAATACGTCAGATAAGTAGTAGTTGTTGTTGTTACGCACTGCGGAAATACAAGTGTGGACTTCGGTGTGAAACAAACACGAACACAATGGGAACATGTTAGTTGTCAGTAGTTATCTCGCAAAATCTTTCTCGCATTAACACGTTTATACTAGACAGAAGGACTATACGACTCTGATGAGAAAAATCTATATTGTTCCTGATCATTAATGGTTTCACGATAGAGTTTTGGCTCAAATAGGTGACACGGATATGTTTACTTAGTTTGAGCTCCTTTAAAATAACTTTTAGACCTGGATGTCTGAAACCAGAATGCATCTTTCGTAGGTCATTTTATTGCATATCTTTTTAGTTAAAGGTTTTATTCCGTAGGACTTTTTAATTATTTACCTTTTGTTTGTTTTCTGTAGAACAAAGCATTTCTTGCTTTTCCGCTGTTCGGCCTTTTATGGCGGCCGCAGTGAGAATTTTAGTGGTCAAATTCAAGTGCTGGGTCTGGGCAGCTGTCTGCTTTCTTTGTACTTGGTTGAAGGCATATTGCACACCAACCTTTTGTCAATTTTGAGAGGGCTCAGTTCAGAGACTCATAAAGTCATTGCCACATACCTTTAACACAAATACGCGATCAATATAGTAAAATGCGGTTTAAAAGACAACTAACGTTTTAGTTGCGACGTCCAGTGTAGCTGATAGCCTATGACTATTTTCCACTATCGGTGATAGTTTGTATATGTTAATAGGGGGGGAAAAGCTGTTTTGAATACATAATAGACCTATAAAAATAATCGTTTTTGAACAGAAACTATTAATACAATTGTTAACATAAACAATGGTAAATGTTATTAGTCTATGGGATGCTTTGTGAAAAGTTTTCCTGACCGGTCACTAGATCTTTAGACATGCACATATGAACTAATAGTTAATTAAAAATAAATAAATATTTTTAAATGAGTGCTACATGCTGAATTCATTTTATTATTATTATAGTTTATTTCACGAATTATATTTAGTTTTAAATTTGAGAAGATTAGCATGCCCTGCAATGTTAGTAGAATGTTAGTATACAGATAGTTACTATAGATCTTTCAATATTAAAAAGGATTTTTAAATTAAAAGCAATATTTTCAACATTCTGCTCCAAAAACAAAACTTTTTAGGCTTAGTTTAATAGACGCTGGAGGGTACATATTGAAACTGGATAGCATGTTCTGCCTTAAACAGATGCCTCTCATAAAATGGTCTCAGAGATTTAAAATATCCAAGGGGTCATTTGACTTACTTTACACGTTAAATGGCAAAACGTGTGGTGTTTGAACACAATAGTACATTACACATAATTTTATTTATTTATTTATTTTGTTTCATTCGAAAGAATTTTTTTTTTTTTACATTCACCATAAAGTCATCTTGAATCATAGGTGGCATCATTCATAGCACAATTTTTTAGTTTCGTTGATTAAAACCAAGAGAAAAGTTTTTCCCATTTTAAAATTAAACCACATCCAAACGTAAACATAGATCAGTGTTAACTTTGTGTTTATACAAGCAATGACTGAAATTTCCGGGTAGATTCATAGATCATTTTCTGCACAAGTTCCTAATGTTTTTATCTCAACAAAAAAAACAAACTCACAATTGTTCTATTATTATATTCAAGAACTGGGTGGAGCGTACACGTGACATCTATAAGGCACATTTGCTTATCAAACCATGTAGCCTATAAACATATATGATCTATGTATTTAAAGCATATATGTTTCTATATAATATGACATGGAATGTCATAAAAATTCTATGCACTTGAACAAAAGCAACTTGACAATGCGGTAAAACTCGTCCCTTGAATATAAGCAGTGCAGCAATCAACACAAAAATAAATCGTACCAGTCATATTTAACAGTCGTTCTTTTAAAGTTTTAATAGTTTGGTTACATGCGGAAGACATAGATTAAAACATACATGCTGCGATATACATGAAAACAAAATGTGTTGTCTCAGACTCATAAAATCAGCGTTACTCAGTACCTACAGAGGCTCCAACACACGTACACATAAATAGAAAATACATCTCTTAGTTCTTACAAAACTCGCTTAAAACAACAACCAAAAGGTGTTACTGTTTTACATTGTCTTGCATGATTTGAAAATTAATCGTTTGAATCTCACAGATCTTACCCAGCTGAACCACTCCTACGCATCCATGTGTTCCAAATTGATATATGACAATATCTACTTTCGATCACGTGTTGCGGGGCGACTTAGACGGATTGCGCGTCATCTCGCCTTCCCAAATTTTCTCCTTCTGCAGCTCGAATCCAAAACATCATATCTGTAGTACGGACTACAGGAGAAAGATGTTTAACTCTGTTAATCTGGGCAACTTCTGCTCCCAGACGCGAAAAGACCGGACATCCGAGTTTGGGGACAGGACTGGCTGTGCCTCCAACATCTACCTCCCCAGCTGCACCTACTACGTTCCCGAATTTTCCGCCGTCTCTTCGTTCCTTCCACAGGGGCCCTCGCGACAAATCACATACCCCTATTCCACAAATCTATCTCAAGTGCAACCAGTGCGAGATGTTTCCTATGGTCTGGACCCCTCCAGCAAGTGGCACCACAGAACCAACTATGCATCGTGCTACTCAGGAGAAGATCTGGTGCACAGAGACTGTCTTCCGCCATCCACCATGACAGAAATGCTCATGAAAAACGAGAGTGTGTACAGCCACCACCACCACCAGCATCACCCGAACTCTAGCCACCCGTCCACTGGTTTCTACACCGGCGTAGGGAAAAGCAACGTGCTCCCTCAAGGTTTTGACCGCTTTTTTGAAACCGCCTATTGTAGCACGGACAATCAGTCAGAACATTGTTTACAAAAGAGCGAGATGAACAAATTAGAGACTTCGTCCCAGCAACCCACAGCTGTTTCCGCAGCGCAGGAGCCGGAAAAGGACGCAGAGGATGAGGAGGAACATACAAATTCGGTCTCGTGCACTTCAGCAGCTACTAAGGACGGCAACGCAAGCAAGAGCAGCCATTCGAGTAGGTACCGAAGCTGTAAATGGGGAAAGGTTAAGGGACTAGCCCGGTGTTTTGTCGGTCAGATTTTATGTGGAGTTTTATAAGCATTCAAAGGATTTTATTATAACCTACAAAGCTCTTTCCTCCAACGAAAAGAATTTTTACGATGGGAAAGCGCTTTGAAAAAAGAGGATGTTATACACAGACGCTACTATCCCAGAGTCTGTGAAATTTTAAGAGCGCGCTATTGTGACAAATGCTAACTTTGATCATGAACTTGCGTTGAGCATTGCAAGGGATTTTCTCGTTTAGCTGTCGGGGGTAAAAACCAATTGGGCAGAACATTACTTTTGGCATACTGTGAATTTTGTTTTAGCAGCTCGAATGTAAACTAGCTAAGTCCTTATTAGCTTTTAAACGGGCTGTGACTTGAGTTACCGTGGGGTTGATGTAGCCAGCATAGTCAATGGCCATACAATGTTAGTGCTTGCCCGGTGCTAATGACTATCAGATAAGACCAGTTATCTATCTATCTATCTATCTATATATCTATAAATGAAAGAATTTTTAAAGAGGCATTTCACCTTTTGGAAATATGTTGCAATGTAAAGTTTGACCAAAAGTAGCCTAAACATGAAGGCCAATCAGAACTGTCGTAATTACCTTTCAGAAAACACCACTGGATATTTTAGATTGTTGCTGTTTTGTCATTGCGGCGCTTTTTAAACTGTAAGTATAGTTTGCAGAAGAGAAGCTAGCATTCACGGCCATTCACAGGAGACAATGCCCCAGGCCCACAGTATTTGTTTTTTAAAGAACATATTACGTGTATAAGGTCAAGGGTTCTATAATTTGCGAAACACATTTATTAAATAATATGATACAAAAATAGGAAAAATACATATACAGTAAATTAAAATTACTTTAGAGTTCCAAGTACTAAAAAAGTTGCCTGTTATCTATTGATAATACTTTATTTGTTTAGGGTTTTGCAGAGTTTAACAGTTTGTTTAAAAAAAAGTTAGCCTATATTTACAGTTGTTCTACTATTTATCCACGGTTATAGTTTTGCAACGGAGTGACATGCATAGTTGGGTCTGCTTCCTCACATCTGTAACCTTAGATGAAATCACACACTGGAAATTACAAATTCGTCTTCCAGAAAAAAATATAAATAAATGTGTTGTGCATTTATAAACATCTCATTGTGTTTAAAAAAAAAAAGTTTTATAACGTGATCATTTAAAGTGTCTCTTTTGATTATCCCAAGGTATCCCGCGCACAAGAAAGAAGAGATGTCCATACTCCAAGTTTCAGATTCGTGAACTGGAACGAGAATTTTTCTTTAACGTTTACATCAACAAGGAGAAAAGGCTGCAGCTGTCCAGAATGTTAAACCTTACTGACAGACAAGTCAAAATATGGTTTCAAAATCGTAGAATGAAAGAAAAGAAATTAAGCAGAGATCGCTTGCAGTATTTCTCTGGGAATCCGTTGTTGTAATTGTTGAAATGGCGTTGCCTTTTATTTAATGTCTCTGCAAACTAAAATTACGTATGTCTAAAAATGCCCATCAAGCTAATTAAATAATTAGAAAATGTGTTTGTTACGGCCAACAACAGTACTAAAAACTGTTAGACTTGTTTGATTGTAATAGCTGAGGGTGGGGAGAGAGAATGCAAATTTGCTTAATGTCAAATTAAACCGGTAAATTGTGATTCACAAACTAAAACGTACACCTCACAAGTTTAGTATTTTTTTAAATGTATGTGACGCATCTTTTAAGTGAAATGTTTAAAATCTTCACTTTGAAAATAGTCACAAAATAGCCTACTATAATATATTATAAAATTGTACCCTCTATCCTTTTATGGTTGTATATATGTACATTAAAACACATACACTCGACTCTGGTTCGAATCTGGAGATGTCATACTTTTTTATGTTTTCAGCATTTAGAACTGTGACTTGTACAATCTGTAATATTGTATTCCTTGTACAGAGATTATGCATTGTGCATTCGTGAATGTAAATATAATGTTATTGTGAGTATCCTCACTCTATCCCTGCTGCTATTTTTCTTTACATTGCCTTTGCAGCCTTGTGAGCTTTGTCGTTCGATTCTTTAAATAATTTGCTGTACGCCCAAAGTTCTCATTTATTTCGGAGGGATAGCTCAGCGATCCGATTTGGCCTGTGTATTACATATTAATCAAAAATAAACACAAATAAAGGTAAACTGATATATGTCAACTGTGACTTGATTTTAAAAAAAAAAATCATAAGGTAATCTATGGTGAAGTAAAATTTTGAATGTGTATAATTACACTGCAGTGAAAACAGAGATCTAAGAGAAGATATAATAAACTGACCACTGCCAAGTAATGAAAACTCTCTATCTCTCTCTCTTGCTCTATCTCTCCCAGTTCATCGTCTCCCTCTCACACGTTAGTTCAAGTCTATCAATGTTAAGCTATTGTTGTTTTGCAATGAAAACTGGCTAATAAATGTGTTTAATATTTAGAGTTTTTTTTAGCAGAATTTTAGGAATGTTAAATAAAACTTTTTGTCAGTAGTAGTTTTATCAAAATGAGAAAATACTAATAATGATGATGACCAGGAAAGGGATGCATGAAACACGTCAAAAAATGTAGAGAGCATTTCGGTAACGTCTTTTAGTACCTTCTAAATGGAATCGCCACTCTTGTAGTCTAGACACTGCAATAAAGCCAGAGCCCTAAATTGCCTTTTTTCCCGACTTAATTGCACCGTCTGTTCGAGGGGAATTGTGTTCACTTCCGCAGTAAATAGTAAACAAGAAAGTCCGGCTGCTAGTACAAAAACTGAGACGTTTAAAAATGAACACTTATTGCCTATAGATGCAAAAAACCTATCAAATGACATCGCTGCGTGTAGTCCGTTCACATGGAATCATCTCTTCAGAAGAAGCTGAGCTGCGCGCATCTTGCATTCTAAGAGACAAACAGAACAGAAGTGATATATTTATTTTGCGGTGTATGCTCACAGGGGTTGGGGGTATTGCATGTTGTCCCCATGTGCAGTTTTATATGTGATCACGCTACACGAATTTTGTCACAACATGTGGGCTCATAAGGCGTGCAAGTGTGCTGTTGGCACTTATGCGTATGAAGGAAAAGATATAATTAAAAGTTGTCTTTGAACTTCAATAATGTCAAGAACTTCACCTTTAACCTATTGCAATAAAGCGGAATCAAGGAGCCCCTTTTGTCAGGAAACGTGGTGGACAGAACAGAACCAATCAGCGCAAGTGGGAAAGGACCAAGGAATGCCTAAGCAGCAACACTTTGACCTCTCGCATTAAACTACAGCAGGTAACTTTTCCAGTTTTAGCACTCCTATTAAATACACTTTATTGTCTCTGTAAAATGTAATATTTTCATGCACGAAATATTTTATGACATTTTAGCACATTTAAGATTGCTTGGTTGTGACTTTTCCCGGGTAAAAATAGATTTCTGACGGATTTAAAACAGAGATCGGAGTATATATGCATTGATGCTCGAAAGCGAATAGAAAACGGAGGGGAGGTCCTTGCGCGCTGAATTAGTGTACTGATTTATTGCTAAGATTTAAAAACAGTTAACTGTATTGAAACACAACACATGCGTCCCTTTGTAAATTCCGAAAATAGAGACTTATATGTGTGTGTGATGTGTTAGTGCAGCGGATTCATTGCCAGTGATCTTTGCTTGTAGAACTGTGGGAGGGAAATGGCGGGTGGGGAGGGGAAGGGGGGCATAGGGATCAAGGCTGGAAGGCTTGTCTTCTTGTCACACCCACCAACCTTGGCCCTGGCTCAGTGACGTAGTTAATTTGCTGAATTCCTCTCTCTTGCTTCGTCACGCTGAGAAGCAGGGACTTGGAACGTCCACCTATCAAACGCCGGAGATACTGTCGCCACCAAACCGAAGCAATCAGCTCGTAGACTTTTGAACAATGGTCATAAAATCTGCATTTCTTGCCGTGGGGTTGGTTTGATTCATACATGAGGCTTACCTAGACAAACTGTTTGTTTGTTGTAAGACGTTTTTCATTATGTGGCTATCCTATTTATTCCGAGTAGAATAGGGTAGTTATATCTGCAAAACGGAAAGCAAGGGTGGAATGGAACTCTTTCGAATGAGCTCTTAGCTGACAACAAGGAAAATGGCGGAGGCGTCAGCATAAAGACTGTGGACTTGTAAATACAATCTGGATTTCATTTTTACGTAGAAGTCACCATAATTCAACAGAACATTTTCGCAATATCTGTTAAAAACAAGACTTACAAGGTTACTCTAACATATTTGCATTCAAAATATCAAGAGAATGTCAAGAGTCAAATTTTTCTATTAGGCCTATAGGCTCATTCGGCAAATAATTCTCACTATTCCAATAACTTCAGATTTGATACAATATTAGAAAGTTGGAAGTGACAAGACATATAGAGTTTCCAGTGTGTGTGGTCTGAAAGATTCAGTTGTTCATTGCTGTTTGTACTTCATGCATACAGTTGCGGACTTTGGACAGGGCCTATTAACACTCTTTGTACGCCTATACTTACTTCCGCACTCCTGTACGTGATGAAAAGCTGTAAATACAATCGCCACTGATGCCCACACTAGTCATTTGTATGGTCTTTCGTGATATTAAAATTTAATATAATGCTGATGTGTTTTGCGATTACCACTCTCTGATTTATAAATGTCTTTAAAACGTTACGTGCATCAACCATAAATTTCCATAGACCTCTGCGGGTGGACGCCTGTTTGGTGAGGGGAAACGGTTAAAAAGCGGGTCGCTTTAAATTGGAAATATGTTTTATGGTGGTTTAAGTTCCCAAAAAGGCACGGAATACCAATCGAATCCCCTGCCCTGTTTTTACCCGTTTCAAAGCCAACAGACTAGAGGCCTACGCTGTTAAACAGGACATCTTGTGTTTCACTTTTCAAAGTCGTTTTGACGACTTTTCTTTATTCTTTTAATTGCAATTTTAGCACAGTTTACAACACAGTGCATGTAACGACCCTTAAAAAATTATCAGAAATCAGTACCTGTTAAAAAAACATTATCTTCGCAGGGAAAACATCCATCGGGAAGAACCAAATATAAAAAGTTTAATTCTTGTAAATATCTATATATTATATATATATATGTGTGTGTGTGTGTGTGTGTGTTTTATATATATATATATATATATATATGTAAAACATTATATATAATGTTTTACAGGCTACACACTTTCTTGTTTTGTACAACCCGAATGTGGTGCAATTCAATATTCTCTGTGATAGATCTTTGATCCCCCAATGAAAAAGGAATTAGCTTTCTCTGTTTAACAGTAACAGCTGCATGTCGACTTTTAATAGTATCACAAACTTCACTCGAAGAGAAGGGAATGTATTAAAAATATACTGTTAAAAAGGCTTAGAGCCTTTTCATGTTTTCTTTTCGGCATGCACGGACAAACAGAGAAATGTGTAATTCAGACAGAGTAAGATTCCACCAATTTGTTTTTAGTTTTGTTTGCTACAATTTGTTGTTGTTGTTTTCATCCTATGAAATAAATTGCTTTGAAAAAAGAAACAAAAGAACAGTTCATAACACGATTTTTATTTACATTAAGAAACAATGACATATTAGCCTTTAATTCAATAGTAAATACACTTTAATAATACATGCACAATAATTTGTTCAAGAACGTACTTTCGATGCAACACAAAAATTATTACTTTTAAAGAATACATTCATCCATATACATAATGTACAGACATTTTTAATGTTTTCATTGGACTCTGTTTCGTTGTTTCTAGACATATAATTCCCAGCAGAACATGATATTACAGTGAACAATGTTTACAGCAATTTAAATATGTAAATATATCTCGGAAATACGTTTTCATACTCGCATCTGGAAAGTCACTGCGCCATTGTAGATAGAGAGCCTTACCTGTAATTAATTAAGACGCTTAAGCATTTTTGTTATTTAAATTTCTGGTTTACATTGACCTGATATCTACAGTATTTCGTTACACGCTACAGATTTTTAAGAGAATATCAAATGAGATACATTTTCTATCTAAACAATATATAGAAAACGCACACACACACACATATATGCGTGTGTGTGTGTGTGTGTGTGTGTGTGTGTGTGTGTGTGTG